CTGAGTCTTGGCATCGCAAGGACTTCATGTTTGATTATCTTAATTAATGTGATACATAATCATTTAATTTGCATGTATATTTGTATATATTAGGTGATCCAATATTTATGTCAATATGTTTTCATAAACCGAACTGATTTATATGATAAACCAAAGTGATACGTATATGATTCTTGATTATTGTAAATTGGATCACATAAAATACTTACGATAAACCTAGATGTTTGTATAGGAGAAAATATAATATGATCGAGTATAAATATTTATGAGAACATATTTTAATAAACCAAACAGGATTTATAGGTGAATTTGTTATTATAGTTGATATGAGATGTGATATTTAAAATTTGTTATTATATAATTAAATTTTTTTTTTGATGAAATTTAAAATTTATTGAACCATCAAGAAAGCATGTTATGTACAAAGCAGAAGAAAATCTAAGGACTATTTATGCTGTGAACCAATAAATAAAAGAATGATTTGAACTATATGGTGACTTCGAACCATCTTAGGAGTAGGCCACCGTACTTATGATCCGGCTTATATCGAAGGGAGACAATCCTGTTTCTCATAGCTTTGTCAATCCTTCTTCTCATCTGATCAGTACTCATCGCAGGCTTCTGATGGCGTCTAGCATTTCTCTCTCTCCATACATGATACACTGCACTTTGAAATAACATCCTTGCAAGGATAGTATCCATCTCTTTGTCTCTCATACGCTGCAGTTGAGTGATGGTACATTGCCAGTCTGGGTTAATGACATTTCCAACCAGCTTGCGCACAAGCACTTCCCATACTGTGTATGAATATGGACACGCAAAATAAAGGTGATCTCTAGTCTCATCCCTTTCTCCACAAAAGACACAATCTTGCACCATACCCCACTGTCTTATCCTATCCCCTGTAGATAATCTGAATATTAAATATTAGAAAAAGTTGAATATATCCTACAAACAAAAACACTAGAAGTCTAAAATTTTTAGCATATTCTCCTCTGGTAGTTCAACCGCGAATTTTTTTTTTGCATTGTATATTTTCGGAATATGAGTGTGTGACTTGTTAAAATTGATCCTATAGATAGTACAGAGAAGGGGTCTGACATCTTTATCAAGATGGTTTTACTTCGTCAAATATTCATTCTAGTATCTGGAACACGAAATAGATCAAATAGATCATAAATTTTTTGAAATTTATGTTTTGTATAGAATTATCAAATTATAAATTACTTATATATCAATTTGATTATTTTACTATGCAAAACCAAAATACGTAGTTTACAATTTCTTCAATTCAATTTGAAGAAAATATATGCTGGTTGTGCTGATCAAAATTTAGTTGTCACATATTAAAAGCAAGCATTGACAAGTTAAAAACAGACGCTCCTACTTCTCTCTAAAAAGAGATCGTAGAACCCTATCTCCGGCTCGGCGGCCGCTGGTGCCGGAGGCTTTCTCTTCCTCTCTTATCTCGTTTTCTCCTTTGCTCCCTCCCATACCGTATCTCCCTCTGTCTCTTTGCTGTGATCTCTAGACTGTCGAGGCCAAGAAAAAAAATCTCTCCTTTTAAAGTTTGATGGTGTCGGTCTCTGGCTTCTTTTGGAGTAACGGCGAGGCTCTAGGGAAGACGGTAAGAGAGCGAGACGGCTTTTAGGGTAAAGATTCACCAGATCTGATTTTCCTTTTTCAAGATCTATGGTGTCTCCTTCCTCACCAGCGGCGCGTGTAGCGGCCAGACACCTCCTCTAGAGTGGATCTCCTCTTCTAAGCGGCGGTGAGTCCGTCCAGCAGAGTTGGGTTTGTCCTCTGGTTCTCGAAATCAACACGTACGGAGCTTAACGGCGACAGCGTAGCCAGCCGGAGACGTGTGCTCTGACGATGTACGTGGCAGAGATCTACATCCCAGCACCGTAATTGAAGTTATGTCTCCTTCTGGTGGTACGAGCTCCACCCCCCCCCCCCCAAAAGCGATGATATGTTAAACCGCCTCGCGTTAAAGTTGTTGAACCCGAGTTTCACTCCGGTCTCTATGTCCGCCTTCTCGGCTGAGAGTTTGAGATAACAAACCCAACGGACCCGGAAAATACGGGAACGTGCCTCTTGGTGTTGGCCTGTTGGTACAAGGACTTCAAGTTTACTTTATGGAAACTAACATCGTGAACAAGTAATGATAATCCCATATAGATTTCTAGTTTTTTTGTGTGTTGAGTTATCTTATATTTGAAGTCGAATTTTAGGAGGTTAAAGAGATGGTTCACTTCGAGTGGTGGAGTGAATTCATACCAATGTGGTTTAAAAATACATGATGTATGTTAGGTTGCGTTGGATCCAACTCAGTGATTCAAGGTGGAACTAGACTGCTTCATTGTATTATGTGGTATAATCTCTAGTGAGATTAAATATAGACGTACTAATATATATAATCAACTAATTTACACTATTTTAGTTTTCTTACTTTGAAATTTGATTTGTTCAAACAAATTTAAAAAAAAACAATTTATATTTTATTCAACTAAAATTTCATTAAATATTCACCTAATCATAATTCAACAAATAAAAATGCTAACGAAAGAATAAAAAATTATATAAAAAGAAAAAAATTGCATAAACTTGCATTAAAAATTAAAAATATCAACTTATTTGAAGTGAAAATAATTCTCTAAATATTATATATTAGAAAAAGGTTTATATATCCTACAAACAAAAACACTAGAAGTCTAAAATTTTTAGCCTATTCTCCTTTGGTAGTTCTACCGCGAAATTTTTTTCTGCATTGTATATTTCCGGAATATGAGTGTGTGACTTGTTAAAATTGATCCTATAGATAGTACAGAGAAAGGGTCTGGTATCTTTATCAAGATAGTTTTACTTCGTCGAATATTCATTCGAGTATCTGGAACACGAAATATACCAAATAGATCACAATTATTCAAATTTTATGTTTTATATAGAATTATCAATTTATAAATTACTTATATATCAATTTGATTATTTTACTATGCAAAACCGGAGTACGTAATTTACAATTTCTTCAATTCAATTTGAAGAAAATTTATGCTGGTTGCGCTGATCAAAATTTAGTTGTCACATGTTAAAAGCAAGCATTGACAAGTTAAAAACAGATCGTAGAACCCTAGTTCCAGCTCAGCGGCCGCCGGTGCCGAAGGCTTTCTCTTCCTCCCTTATCTCGTTTTCTCCTTTGCTCCCTCCCAGACCGTATCTCCCTCTGTCTCTTTGCTGTGATCTCTAGACTGTCGAGGTCAAAAAAAAAATTCTCTCCTTTTTAGAGTTTGACGGCATCGGTCTATGGCTTCTTTTGGAGTAACAGTGAGGCTCTAAGAAAGACAGTAAGAGAACGAGTCGGCTTTTAGGGTGAAGATTCACCAGATCTGATTTTCCTTTTTCAAGATCTATGGTGTCTCCTTCCTCAGCAGCGGCGCGTGTAGCGGTCAAACACCTCCTCTAGAGTGGATCTCCTCTCCTAAGCAGCGGTGAGACTTCCGGAGGAGAGAATCAATAGCCACCAGAATTGAGTTTGTCCTCTGGTTCTCGGAGTACACGGACGGAGCTTAACAGCGACAGCGTAGTCAACCGGAGACGTGTGCTCTGACGGTGTACGTCGCGGAGATGTACATCCCAACACCGAAATTGAAGTTATGTCTCCTTCTGGTGGTACGTGCTCCACACCCCCCCCCAAAAGCGATGATATGTTAAACCGCTTCGCGTTAAAGCTGCTGAACCCGAGTTTCACTCCGGTCTCTATGTCCGCCTTCTCGGCTGAGAGTTTGAGATAACGAACCCAACGGACCCGGAAAATATGGTACAAGGCCTTCAAGCTTACTTTATGGATGCTAACAGCGTGAACAAGTAATGATAATCTCATATAGTTTTCTAGGTTTTTCTGTGGGTTGAGTTATCTTATATTTGAGGTCGAATTTTAGGAGGGTAAAGGGATTGTTCACTTTGAGTGGTGGAGTGAATTCATCCCAATGTAGTTTAAAAATACATGATGTATATTAGGTGACTAGCCTCATTGTATTATGTGGTATAATATCTAGTGAGATTAAATCTTTGTACCAATGCATTGTAAAATGAAAGTTGTTGAGTTAAAAAACAAGAAAAAGCAAGCATTGACATGTCCCATCGTCATGTCAATTGGACAAATAGACGTTAGATGTTTGACCACTGGCTTTGACTGAAAATAATAGAAAAATATGGGGAGAATCTGTAAATCTGTAAATTTACAGGTACGAGAGAAATACTCATTAAATAAAAGAAATGCACGCAGTTTTACGTTCCCAAAAAGGTGGGCCCAGTCAAAAAATTTCTCACGTCCGTCAACTTTAGTGTTGACTGAGCCTAAAAATAGTTTGAAATATTAAATATTTTGTATTCCCCATAATACCTTTCACTCCGTTAGATCTTTTCGGGAGAAGAAGATAAGGTTTGAATGATTCGATATATTTTTTATTAAAATATTCTACAGTATAATTCACTAAGAGATCTGACGGCTTAGAGCCATCTAGCAAAACATCCCCAACCGTCCAGATCAAAGCTGGGCCAGCGCTTCCTTTAGTTTCCTAAAACGGAAAAAATAATACAATCTGGACATTAACTTGGCCCATATCCATTTTAATTGATTTGTTTCTTTGTGAAAGAGGTAAAATTTCCTCTCTTTTTTTTTGAAGACAAATTTCCTCTCTTTTTTTATATCTTTTGTATTTTTAGCATAGTTTCTAAAATTTCACTAGTTTTTTTCCTGTTTGAAAAAGTCAAGAGATTCATTGTGCAGATAAAAATAAAATATAAAAAAATGAAAGGAAAATGGAAATACATACGATAATAATGAGGAATACGAAAAGATTATATAAAATGAAAAGAAAGTAATTGCAGAATAATAATTGTTTTTGGGGAATAATAAAAATGCAGACGTGGCGGTGATACCCTTTGCACACATCTGCTGTTATAAACAGCGTCTGCCTCACGCCAAAGTAGAGTGTCTAAAAACACACAGAGAGAGAAAGAGAGAGAGATCTGTTCGGTTATTTCATAGATTTGAATCAGAATGTCTGGAGGCGATGGAAACAACGGTGGAGGGAGACGCAAAGGCACGGTGAAGTGGTTCGACACCCAGAAGGGGTTCGGTTTCATCACACCTGACGACAATGGTGAAGATCTCTTCGTTCACCAGTCCTCCATCAGATCTGAGGGTTACCGTAGCCTTGCTCCTGACGAATCCGTCGAGTTCGAGGTTGAGGTCGACAGCAGCGGACGCAACAAGGCCATCGAAGTCTCTGGACCCGACGGCGCTCCCGTTCTTGGAAACAGCGGCGGTTCATCTGGTGGTCGTGGTGGCTTCGGCGGTGGTGGAAGAGGAGGGGGACGTGGTGGTGGTGGACGGGGAGGTTATGGTGGTGACAGTTACGGAGGGGGAGGTTATGGTGGCGGTGGTGGCGGTTACGGAGGAGGAGGTTATGGTGGTGGTGGCCGTGGAGGCGGTGGTGGTGATGGGGGTTGTTACAAGTGCGGAGAACAAGGTCACATGGCGAGAGACTGTTCCCAAGGTGGTGGTTATGGAGGAGGAGGTGGCTACGGAGGAGGTGGTGGCGGCGGCGGCAGGTTTGGCGGTGGAGGAGGCGGAGGGAGTTGCTACAGCTGTGGGGAGTCGGGTCACTTTGCGAGGGACTGCACAAGCGGCGGACGTTGAAGCAAGACAAGTTCAAGGCGGCTTGTAGAAGGGTAGATCAGTCATCTCGCCGCCTGCTATCCCAAATATTAACTATCTATCTTTATCTTTGGTGTTTTTAATCATTTGTGTTCGGATTATTAGGGCTTTGTGGTTATGGTACTTTGTGATGCGTAAGGATCTGGATTCGTATTTGCATGTTTTAAGAAACGTTTGCTCATAGATCTACTCTCGCTCTTTATTCCAAGTGTTCCAGTTTTTTATTTATTTAAAGCTGTTACTGAAGTATTTGGTTAAAAAAAAGGGTATTAGAGCAACTCCAATGGTGGGTAGTCCTTAACACTAAAATATTATTATTTTTTTTTTTTTTCTGAATAGTTAAGGATTCTTATTATAAAGGTAAGTCCAATGGTGTTATCTTTATGGAATTCTTAAAAAAAAATTTGAATTGAATCTTAGAAATTAAAAATTTGTAAAACATTTCTTACAAAAGTCACTACACATTATCAATCTTAATACACAATGAACAAAGAACCTACTTGTCGTATGGAAAGTCTGAGCATTTCCAGTTTGGATCAGCCATTGCGTTATGGTGAAAGCGGCATTCGTCTCTGCTCCTCAACCTGAACCTCCTCTCCTTACCACATTCGATACACTATGAGCAGGAACGTTGTTCCGGTTTACATATCAAGTTAAGTAAGAGGCAACGAACTGGAGATGAGAATGCACCCACAGCTTTAACCTGCAGAAACTTCAGTCTAGGAATCTTTCCTCTGGATATTAACACCAATAGCTTGACCTTTGGAACCTTAGTTATTACAAAAAGTTCTCATCATCAAAATACTTGCTCAGAACAAACAGACACAACCTCAAAAACTTATTCAGAACAAAAACAATGAGTTGCCCAAAAACAAAAAAAAAAACAAAAAACAAATGAAAAGTATTCACGTTCTTCTAAAGCTCCCTCTAAGAATTACTTATGTATATGTTCTTGCATTATAGGAATAGCCGCATATAGAAAAGCTCCAACAAGAATTGAACAGAGTAAAATGAATCAAGAGCAAACACTCACATTATTTAATTAGTTATTTTTTACATTAAGCATCATGCGATCATATGCTGCAGAAATTCAGTAACATCTATAATTTCCCGTGATTCCATGAGCTAAAACACGACATAATAGAAGTTACAAAACTTCAGTAACATCTATAGTTTCCTGATCATATATACATAAAGATAATATAACATGACCTCATACATACACAACATGATATTCTAGGCAAGCTTGAAGCAACTAACTAATAATAGAAGTTATAAAATTTTATGAGAGTCACTGATAATAAAGATCTCTTTTTTGTTGCTCTGATAATCCGATAAAGCATAAAACAAAACAGAATAAGCAAACGAAGGAGGAGGATTACCATGGCTACTCTTCTTCCTGTGCAATAAAGATCCTATCTTTACCAGTAGCTCATCCAATACAGAGCGCCTGAAGAATCAGATCGGGCAGATTCTAAGGTTGTTTTCTTGTGGGGGTGGGTCAGCAACAGCCGCCACGGGAAAAACAAAAAGATCGAATTTGACTGTAATACCAAATGTTTTTAAAGTTGAATCAGAATGTTTTTTCTCTTTCTTGATGTTGAAGAAGGAGTTGGACTTGTAGCAGACGGAGCCTAAAGAGCAAGTACCATGGATATAGCTTAGTTTTCTCGATGAATTCACCATCGCAAGCGAGTAGAAAGAGCTCAAACTTTCGTCGAACACCTTCTGTGCATCTTCAGTCGAACCACAAGCAGTATACATATGAACAAGCTTTGTTCCAAGGAACTCGTTTTTCTCCAACCCATTAATCCGTATGTTGACATGAACGGCGGGAGATGTTGAAGGGCGTCTAGATCTGCTGGAGATTTGCTCGAGAGGGAGAGATTGAGAGAGAAACAGAGATGCCAGCTCATTAAGGACTTGATCCTTAAAATCCTTCATTAAGGATTAGTCCTTAGCATTTCTCATTTGTTTAATGCTTTTTATTCCCCAGAAGCTAATGATTACTCATAAGGATTGCATTAAGGACTTGCGTTGTACCTGCTCTTAGGGCATGTTCAAAGGGAGAACACTAAAGTGTGTGCTTAGGATTAAAATATTAGTAAAGTATTATATTTTGTCTAAGAACATGGGAAATAGTCAAAGGGAGATCATTTTGTTTAAGAGTGTGCTTAAACAAAAACATATCATCGGCTTTGAATACGAATCACAGATTCGATCTCTCTCTCTCCTCCCCTGCATCCATGGAGTCGGATAACAGCACCGGTTTCACCTACCTCGGCCGCAATTTCAGCAACTTAACCGTGAACGACCACTCCTCCGCCTTCAGCGACTGCAACTCCGACAGATCCGGCGAGTTCACCTCCGCTTCCTCCGAGAGCCGCCGCCTCCTCCTCTCATGCGCCTCCGATAACTCCGNTGCAACTCCGACAGATCCGGCGAGTTCACCTCCGCTTCCTCCGAGAGCCGCCGCCTCCTCCTCTCATGCGCCTCCGATAACTCCGACGACCTCATCCGCCACCTCGTCGCCCACCTCGACTCCTCCTGCTCCGTCGACGAGCAGAAGCAAGCCGCCATGGAGATCCGCCTCTTGTCCAAGAACAAACCCGAGAATCGGATCAAAATCGCTAGAGCCGGAGCCGTGAAACCTCTCATCGCATTGATCTCGTCGTCTGATCTTCAGCTCCAGAGTTTTGATTTTTCGGCCAATAACAACGCGCCACGTCGCTTAGAACAGAGCCCAAGCACTGATCCTATTTAAGACCTGTTTTAGTGATCTTGGAACACTTTTGTATAAAAATGCATTATTTTAGGCCCAAGCACACAGCAAGTGTGCTGCCTTTAAACATGGCCTTAAGTGGTAGGATTCTGGATTAAAAATAAAAAAATTTGTTATATCGTAAAAATAGTATATCTAGCGCCTATTTCTGGATCGCTAATAGATTATGGGCAGAGTCCGACAAGAAGTTTGCTTCTGTTGTGGTATTGCTGTTGGTAATGTGATTCAAATGGATAAGGATTTTGTACTCTGGGAAGACTACATATAAAAATGATTGTTTGGTCTTAGATCTATAGATCTGGCGTTAGTCCTGAAGTTTTTTCTTTTAAAAAAAATCCAAAGATGTAATTTCAAAAGCAAAACGAAAACGTTGGTGGGCTGATGCAAAGTTCTTTACAAACGAATCCAAATCTCGAAAATCTTGTTATCCATGGAAAACGTTACATGATAAGTTAGCTCTGTAGGTTGAAAGTTACTATATTCAAAGTCCACGACTACAAGTGTGGTTGTCCTGAGGTTTACTGATCATAGGAGGCGAGGCCATCACTGGCGAAGGGCACTGACGAGACCGAATAATTTGGTGTGAACAAAATCGATCATACCCAACCACCAAACCTAACAATAAACTCCCGCACCACATGAATGTGTTGATCGCACCAAAATGGATACTGATTATCCCTTTAGCATAAATCCTTATTAATCTTGTCCCTATGGTATAATCTTTTTTATAATCCGAAAACTAATTCTAGATTAATCTAATTAAATATATCTTTTAAATTAGAATTGTATTTATAAAATTTTAGTCAAAATAAATACTCAAAAAATAAAAATAATAATAAAAACAAAAAGGAACAAAATCTCTTTAGTTCTACCGTAATCCTAATTTGGTAAAATTTATTCTTCTCTCGAAAAGAAAACAAAGACGATTGTGTCTTTTCTGGTAAAATCGATGTCGATGGAGAGATCATTACTTTTAGGGGGAATCAAATCTTCTCTCAGTGAAATCATTGATGGCTGTCTTCTTTTCTTCGCCTTTCCGCATCTTCATATCTTTGCATCTCTTTCTTATTAACCGAAAACACTCATAGCATACACCACAAGTCGCAAGTCGTATAGATATGCATTTTGAAGAATAATGGAGACATCTAGGTTAGATGGTCGGTATTTTTAGGTTTTTTTGGCAAGGGAAATCAATTTCCCTATGTTCAAGGCAACAAAGTTTTTTTTTGAATATTTTCCTAAATAAATTTAACAAAATTTGGAATTTTGCTTAATTTTACTGAATTTGGTTAATTTTATCAGTAGAATGTGTCTTCTATAAAGCATAGCACAATAACATAATGCGACGAGCAAATTTTACTATAAGTAGAATACTAAGTTATGTGTAGTTTACGTATTTTAAAAAATTTAGAATTTATTTAAAACATAAAATATGTATTCAGTTATTGTGTAGAACCTTTTATTTTAGGTAGAAGTTATATTCTTTTATTTAGAATTCTATATAATAGTAGAATATATCTTCTAAAAAATGTAGAATTACTTGTTTAACATGGAATACGATTTTTACCACGCCATTTTCCATAGAACATGCAATCTACTCTTTGTAAAATATAAATAAAAATTTTAATTTAACAAGTTTTTTTTAAAATAAAAAAATATCAGCTTCTGCATATTTGTTTTTTTAAAAAAAAATTCAAATAAGTTTCTTTAATTTTCGAATTAATTTTCAAAAATATTTGGAAATATTATATTTTTTTATTTCGAATTAGTTTTTAAAAAACTTATGACAATATTTTGGGAAATTTGTTTTATTTCGAATTAATTTTTTTATTTGGAAATATCTTTTTAATTACGAATTATTTTTTAAAACATATTTGGCAATATGTATTTTTAATATTTAGAATTTCGAGATTTTGGGAATAAAATATTTGAAAATATATATATATTTTTAATTTCGAATTAGTTTTTTATTAAATCTAAAATAGAAAATTATTATTTTCTAATTATAATTTTGAATTAACAAATTAATTTTAAGAACATTATTGTCATTTAAAAAATATTTAGTTTAATAGGATAACTAGACAATAAATTAGCAAAAAAAGACAATGTATAAATTGTTTTTGCCTAAAAAACAATTTTGCTAATACTGTATGTTTTATACTAGGGGACAAAGGGTCTATTATTCTGTTCTATTTTAGCATAATTCCCAAAAATAATGTTCTATTTCAGCATAATTCCCAAAAAAAAAGAAGGCACAAATTTGGCTTCCAACATAAGGGTGTTGAATTGAGTCAAAGAGTTTCACAACAGCTGTTGTTCCATCTGCATATCAACTTACTATGCTAAAGTTAGGTGCCACAGTGCAAACTGGAGTATTATGCAACCAACAGCTGTTGTTGGAACTGGGAATATTTGATAGGTTAAAATCAGAACCAGGGCATCCACCAGATGTACATCTTCCCAAGATTCTCAAGTGAGACTGCATCAGCAATCAACCGGCGAGCCTGCCCT